TTTCAAAACATCCTTAATTTTAAGAGTATTTTTGTAAGTATCCCAACCTAGATAGCATGGAACAGTCCAGTTCTTGAGAATTTGTCAAACTTCCCCATAAACCAGAAATTAAAATCATATATTTAAATAATAAAACAAACAATGACAATTTGCATCTAAATAAAAATAATGGATCATAATAATCCCTTCGAGGAAGACTTCACCTCCAAATTTTACATTTTTTTAAAATACAAACACAAATAAAAATAACTTTTTAAACCTAAATAATAAGTTGGTTCAATAATGAAGCGGTCAACCAATTTTTGTGCTTCTTTAATTTTACATCTATTTTTCTTCTCTCTCTCACTTAATGCTTGTACGTATACACGCCAACTGTTTGAATAAATGATTGACTTGGTCCTTAGATACAATGATTTGTTTCGTAAGAGTTTTTTTAAAACTATTTTTTCCCAAAAGCATCTTTTAACAGTATATTCTATGTGATTCATAACTTTTCTCTACCTTTCAATCACATTTTTTTTTTTAAAGAAACGAGGGTCCAACAAGAATACAATACAAGATAGTAAGATAAAATGACATATTAGAAATAAAATTAATAAATAGTGTTCTTTTATTAAAAAAAAAAAACAAATAGATTTGTTAAGGGCGAGTTGGTATAGATTAAAATCAGATTAAAATTGAAAAAATAGTCGTTCTTGTTGACTTTTATTAGATGAGTGAGACCCAATAACGACTATATTTTCAATTTTAATTGGATTTTAAGCACAACCGAACACGCCCCTAAATGTGAAAATACCGATGATCAATATAATTAATCATGATAGATATTTAATGATTCTATTCAGGATTAAATTTAAAACATGTAAGTCACTCGACTAACACTTCAATCATATAGCCCTTGTTGCTATTATTGTGTAGAAAATAATGTTTTGAATAATGTTTTTTGGAGAATGTATAGTTAAAAAGTGAAAGAAATTTGGATTCACGTAACAAATATTTTGATGTGAATGTGTGGTTGAAAATAAGTATGAGAAATAAATTATTTTATTTTAAAGGAAGTTAAACATGGGTATCAAGGCATCACATTTTTTTTTATAAATGCACAGTATTTTAATTGCATTAAAGGTTTATAACATTTTTTTTATCACATTAATATTCAATTAGCACATCTTGTCTCTAAAAGCGGTTTTCGTCTAAAAATTATATTATCGCACTTCAAAATAAGTAAAAAATATATAATCCCAATTTTGCATTTTTTTAATTCAAAAATAAGCTAAAAATTGAGTTTTTTTTACTCACCACTAACAGAATTTTTGGACGTAGGCCGTTATTAAGTACGAGCTATTATAATCAATAGAGGTTGAGGATAAGATTG